GAAAGAAATAAGTTTCCGACTGGAAAGGAAGGTACAAAATAAAACAATATGCATTAGATTTTTACCTTTCCAACAGGTTTTTTAGCATAATGATAATCAGAGAAATCCTCAACAGTGTCGAACTGCTTAAAAAAACTGTATTTCTTACCAATTTCATCCTCTATTTCTGGCATTGACTTAAAATTGCAAGGCCCCTCATCAGTTACAGCTTTCTGCAACAATGGTACACTAGCCTCCACACCTATTCGTAATCAGGCCACTCATATTCATCATCATAGCAGCCTTCATCTTCATCATCCACATAACAATTTTCCTCCTCCTTTTCCAAAAAACAATTTTCTTCCTCAATTTCACAAGAGTCAAAATTCTGTAGCTTAGCTTCAGATGCTTCGAAGGAATTATTTTCTGTAAAGGACCCAACTTCATCACTGGACAAAGATCCCTGTAAAATATGTCAATGTAGTTATAAACTAAAACAAGCATTTTAACGGTAAATACAAACTTGAGTCCGCCGAGAAGTTCTTGTAAATTTGAGTTCATATCAAGATACATTGCTTTGGTGCCAGCGTTAGACATGCAGTATATGGTAAAAGCAATCCACATTGTTTTCCCAACAAAGCATCCACAAGAATCTAGGAACTAAGAAAGCATAATTGATGTGGGAGCATGTAAACTATTTTCCCTCACAGAAACGTTTCTTCTTCAGAGATTTCTTCAAGAAACCTAGGTGCAGTAAAAGCCTCAACAATGTACTAAAGTATAACACTTGCGCTCAAGTTCATCAAAACTACAGTTCAAAAAAAATATAGTTCATCAAAACCGAATGCCAGTTCTTATAGTCTGAAACTTTGAAAGTGCACACTTATTATGCTTCTTCTTCTTTGATCAATAAGCACTGGACTTTCCACCTTGATCATAGTAGTATGCTGAAGCAGCTCAAGACAAAAGCCCTGTTTAGCCATGGTCAGATTTCGGTAGACTAACTTGGACACGGGATTAGGACGTCCCACCCTCCACCTGCTCCAGGACAAGAGGGTAGCGACAAGTATCGGCGATCCTGTAACACAGGTGTTTTTCTCAGTCGATGAATGGGATAACCCCAGTGTGTGAGACAAATGTATGCATTTCGGTTAGGGTTGTATTCTACGGTTACGATTCTGGCAGATAAGTCTTTTTGATTCAGTCGAAAATCGATTTTACGGTCTAAGAAAATAGGACACGCTCTCCTGTTTGTAAAATAGCTTTAGATAGGCTTCTTGATGTGCCTTATTTTTTCTTCAACGGCTAAGATTTGGTTGAGATTCTGCTGAACCTGTTTGCTTTCATATCGTGATTCAGAAAAAGGACAGAGCCCATCACATGAGCAGCAGGGGTGATGTTCAACTGTTAAAGTCTGGCAGTAAAAGCTTGTCCGGGAAGTGAATCATGCAAGGAACCACAGGTAAGATAGCAAGAAGGCTGTTGAGAATGTGGGAGGGAAAGACATTCGAATGAGATGGAATAAGGAAAGAAAGAAAAGTCGCCGCTGCAAGGTTAAGTTGCTTTACCGGATAGAGATATGAATTTAGGAGAAGAATAAATGGAAGATTGGATTGGTAGGAGCTTTGGCTTAAATAACCCGTGAGGCTTGTTTGGCTTATTCCTTCAACTAGAACCATATGTCTCTAGGGAATTCCGAAAAAATCCGTAAGGTTTCAAACGACGTACCGTACCTATTTTTAATGAACCCCTTGCCCTTGGTGCCAGGTTTTTACTAGAAGTATGATGGTCTGCTACACTGTTTCTCACACTCATAACAGCCAAATAGACATCCTAAACTACATCCACAAGTTACAGTTAGCTAGCTAGCATATGGTCGTCCAAGCAATTTGCGAAACAGAGTAGTCTTTTTTTTTTCCAGAGAGACGAAACAGAGTATGCGTGGAACTTACCTTTGGAAGCTCCGGCAATGAATGTCTCGCCCTTTTGTCAGCGCGAGGATCACCATCTTCCTGACATGGCGAGCGTTTTCTTTTGGCCACGGAAGCAGTCGACGTACCTGCAGCAGCACATCATCCACGGATCGATGGTGCAGACACTAGCAACACGATCGAGTTGACAACAAAAATCCAGCCAGGGTCTCATGCAATGTGCTCAGCGCTGTACTTCGAGTGTGCCAGCTCGAACAGTAAAAGTCCGGAGAAGGTTCAGTTCATGGTGCAGCATATACTGTATATACAGAGTGCATGCATGCAAGAAACCGAAACAGAGCCGCGGCGAGGGAGGGAGACAGAGCTAGAGGCGGCGGCGGCTTACCGCGACGGGATTGGGTCTGCCGGCCCTGCCGCCGCATGGACACGAGCCGCTTGAGCGCCAGCAGCCCCATGATACGACGGCGACGACGACGACGATCCTCCTGGTCCTCGGGTTCAGGGTAGGGTCATCTCTCAGGTTTGTTTGTTTTTAGCTACTAGTCCAGTTTTATTTATTTATAATCTCACGACCGTCCACTGTCCGCACGAAGAGCAAAACGCGCTGCTAAACCAAAGTCCAAAACCCCCTACGAAACTCTGTTCACGTTTCCTTTTTCTTTTCTGAGATTTGATTTGAGAAAAGGCGAAACTCCGTTTACGTTTTTTTTAACAAAACAAAACTCTGTTTTTGTTTTTTTTTCGTGGCAGCGTGCGGGTCGGGGACTCCTATAGGGCGCCTTCAGCGCCGCGCAAGGATCTGGCGCCCGCAGCAGCGCTTGGATGGGCCGGCCCACAATCACGCAAAAAAGCAACGAGAAAAATGACACTCGCGCCCTCCCGATTCCACACGGTGAGGCTAGCCACTGCACCACCTAACTGCTAGCGGATATTCCCACCGCGAAATTTAAATAAACAGCAAATAGACGCGCTATTTATTGCACAATACACTGTGGCATTTATACATTTCAATTATTGAAAATATGTTCAAATATTACGGATGGAGTTCTTGGGCATGCAAAAAAAGGTCCGCGTATTAAAAAATAGTTCTGAATACACATTGAACATTTTCTTAGTATAGGGTGAACATTATTCAAAGAACACTGAACATTTTTTTAAAATACGCTGAACTTTTTTTGAATACATGCTGAACAAAATTTCTCTACACAATGAACATTTTTAATACACACTGAACATTTTTTCAATGTATAGTGAACAATATTCAAATACACGTAGAACTTTTTTTTAAATACGATGAACTCCTTTTGAATGCATGCTGAACAAAATTTCTATACATGATGAACATATTTTATACACACTGAACATTTTTCCAATGTATGGTGAACATTTTTCTTTAATACGGTTAACAAAAATTTGGAATTCAGAACTATTTTTGAAACATGAACAAAATTCGAAAACATGAACACAATTTGGAATTTCGAGAAACATTTTCTGAAAAGTCAAACGAATTTCGAAAAATCTGAACATATTTTGGATATTGAAAATAGTTCATTGAATTTAAAAAAGTTCACTAGTTTTCAAAAAAAGTTCATTGAATTTGAAAAAAAGTTCATCAATTTTGAAAAAAGTTCATGGAATTTGGTTAGAAAAGTTCATCGATTTTGCAGAAAATGTTCACACATTTTGCAGAAAAGAAAAAATGAACAAAACCGTTACAATAAAAAAGGAAAAAGAAAAAACTGTTCCAAAAACGAAAAAAAAAGAAAACCATTCCAGCAAATTAAAATAAAGATTATAAGAATAAAAAGGCCAGTAGTAAACACGTCAAGTAGGCTGGCTGGTTGGTTGTGACAACGAACTCTGAGCAAGGAGATCGCCAGTTCGAGTAACCGTGGGACTCTGTTTTTTGCGTTTCTTTAAAAAAAGTAACGTGGGCCGGCCCAGTGCGGTGAAAGGGGTGTGCGCCCTGTACCGTTAAGCCTAAAACGGGCGCTACGGGCGCCGTTTAGGAAATGCCGTGCGGGTCTGTCCCACTAGCGTAACGACAATATAGAATCGCACGGAGCGGCCCATTGTCTATGGGCCCGTCTAGAGCCCACGGCCATCGTCGCCTACTCGGCTCCATCCGGCGAGAGTAGACCAATCCCCTCCGCCTCTGCCTCTGGCTGTCTCTGCGTGGCGGAGCCTGAGCTTCTCCGGCTTCCACCAACCCTTCCACTGCTACCCACGTCCCCGCCGCAGCCCCATCCTCGCATCTCCCCTGCCCCTGCCGGATTAGCTCGCTCCGATCCGGAGACCCAAGCCTGAAGGTGCGAATCTCCCGGTCCCTCAGATGTCTAATTTGGGCTGCTCCGAAGTATAATCTGTACTAGTACCTTCCCTGCACTGTAGTAGGTGCACTGGAACTTGATAGTATGAAGCGTAGATTGCCCATGGCCTCCGGTGCTGTGATCTTTTTGAGTACTCAACTGCAGTGTGTCTACTGTCCAGGTGACCTTGTCTGCTGTTGTTGCCATAACGATGAGACTAGAGGGATCAGTGGTAGCATAGAGCTCTGTTTTCTGGTAAGTCTACTCGTGCCTGAAATGTTCATGATTTTGGAGGCGAATTCCATTGTAGGATCATATTCTGGGAAGTCCACAGGTTTAGCTTGTATGCAGTTTCTTTATAGCATATTCCGGCATGTGTGTGCTCAGTATGTTCGAACTAGTAAATTCATATATTCAGACAGGGACCTTTCTTCCTGTTATTTTGCCGTCAAAGCTCAAAAGGAGTGATGCCAATTCGCTAAAGCTCAATGTGGTCGTCAGCCTCTATGCTCTCAATCTCCTGGCAGATAATTTTTCTCATAGCAAAATTGCATAGTTGTGCAATCTGTAGCTGTTCTGAAACATACGTTAGTCTCCTTTTAAACGATGCTACTGTCACATGATGCACATCATGGTTCTCTGACCTTGGATCAATTTACTCTTACTTCGGTGTGTTGTCTTATTTTTTATTTGAGATGAATCAATGCTCTCATGTCCCACTAATTCTTAGCTGGTCGTCCGAACATGTTTTTCAGTTTATACTTGGTGCAACTGGAAGCAGATGCTGCTGCGTTGCGCGCCTGCTATATGTTTGCAACGCCGCACCTATACCATGTATTCTCAGCCTAGCCAGTTACAAGGAGGATTGTCACAGAGCATGGCCTTATGGAAGCATTCTCGCTCACATGCAGTCAGTTATCAAACAAAAATGGGTTTAGTTAGTCTTTCTCCTAAGAGCACAACATCATCTCATCTGCAAAATGGGACATGCTTTGCCTGCTTGGAGCAACAGTCTAAACACGGATTATCAGCGAGAGATCGTATCCTACATGCTAAGCTTGATATGGCCTCACATCACGGGTTTTCTAGTATTAGCTGGAAGTCGAGAACGACGAGAAGTTTAGCACAAAAAATAGGGGGTACAGGCGCTGGACTTTCCTTGAGTTTCACAGTTGCTGGGATAGCAAATGCTGGGGGTCCGGTGGATAATGACATTGATTCCAAATCATCCTCTAGTTGTGCTCATGGGAAGAAAGTTTACACAGAGTATTCTGTCACCGGTGAGTGTGTGGAACATTTTGTTTCTATATACATTATGCCTATATGCATGTAGTCACACACGACCTGCAGGCATTCCTGGGGATGGTAGATGCTTGTTCCGTTCTGTGGCTCATGGTGAGTGCATTAGGTCAGGGAAACCCATACCTAGTGAGAATCTTCAAAGGAAGCTCGCTGATGATTTAAGAACACTGGTATGTTTATAATGTATAAAGCCGAGGTCATACTTTTGATGAATATTGTTCTCAACACTGAAGATTTTTTTTCTTGGTTAGTCCTGTCTGAAATTTCTATATAACTTTTTTATTGTTAGGTTGCTGATGAGTTTATCAAGAGAAGGACAGAGACTGAATGGTTAGTTCCTTATCCTGCTGTTGTTCTTTCTTCACAGCAATGTTGTGCTACACATGCTTACCCTTTGTTGTAACATCAATATGCAGGTTTATTGAGGGTGATTTCGATACATATGTCTCTCAGATAAGGAAGCCACATGTGTGGGGAGGAGAGCCAGAATTGCTCATGGCTTCTCACGTTCTTCAGTGAGTAACTGGACTATTTTTCTGTTGAGATAGGCATTTTAAAAGATAAGTAGTATTAGCCATGATCTCTGAATATTTTCAAACTGTTTGCTATTTAGCTGAACTATTCATCACTGCATGTTTGCTATTTAGCTGAACTATATATTGTTGGGTTTAGTCCCACATCGGTTGCGGGGGGAGACATAACACGATTTATAAGGGCGGGGGTGTCCCCTCCTAACAGGCTAGTCTTTTGGGGGAGAGGGCCCAAGGCTTGTCATAAGTCGGTGTTTCTCTCCGGTTGGGCCTGGTTGACGCATGTGGGTCGGAAACGCTGGTGTAGCGGACCCGGAATTGCGTAACAAGTGGTATCAGAGCCCAGGTGCCCGGAATGAATCTCGGTAGACTCACGGGTGGTCGGTCATGGTTGGTGGGCTGGAAACGCTGGTGTTAGCGGGCCCATGGATGACCGATGTGTGAGGGGGAGATTGTTGGGTTTAGTCCCACATCGGTTGCGGGGGGAGACATAACACGATTTATAAGGGCGGGGGTGTCCCCTCCTAACAGGCTAGTCTTTTGGGGGAGAGGGTCCAAGGCCTGTCATAAGTCGGTGTTTCTCTCCGGTTGGGCCTGGTTGACGCATGTGGGTCGGAAACACTGGTGTAGCGGACCCGGAATTGCGTAACATATATCACTGTGTGTACCTAATACAGCACTTGCAACAAGTTGTTTCACTTTTACCTTCACCGTGCGTCCCAAGTCACTAATACTGATGTAGCATAACACTTGAGCCTGTGGCGTTCAAGACTACTGCCACTTGACCTTGTTTCTTCTTCTAATATTTGGCTTCCTTGTATATATGCACTTCAAGGAGCTGCGATTGTGGCTTTCTGTCTTAACAGAAAAATAACAAGGGGAAATGTTTCGATTGTCACGTCGATGAGAATCTATTACTGTATTCCAAGATAGTTAGTGGACATTGTCTTTTGTAGGTTTAATTTTAAAACTTGGCCCTTCTTTGCAACAGTGAGGTGCCAAAGCAGTAAGAATAAACATCATTTCGTTTTCAGGATGCCGATCACTGTTTATATGCACGAAGAAGCAGCGGGTGGTTTGATAGCGATCGCGGAGTATGGCCAAGAGTACGGGAAAGAAGACCCAATCCAAGTCCTCTATCATGGCTGTGGCCACTATGAAGCGCTGCATATACCAGGAAACGCCGAACCCAGGTCAAGACTGTAACATTTGGAGCTCTGAAACCAGATAGTTGTAGTAAGTTCTTGTCCTATATTATACTTTCTCTGCTTTCCAAATACATTTTCTGTCGAAGTATAGTCAGAACCATTGAGCTTCTTCCATTTGGAGTATCATTTTCGGTGAGAGAATTTATCTCTACCATTGATCTTCTGGGCAGATACTAGCAGCGCTTGTCAGACTCACAGGTAGCTGAGCACCTGGAGCTGCAAAAAGTCCGGGTCACGCCATTCCAGCGGATCTCAACAACCCACGGCCACATCCTCCGCTGCATGTATCGCATGCAAACGTCGAGATTCAGATGTGTACTTAGCCAAATCTTGTCCATCTATTTCCCTCTCATTTTAACTTCCTTCTATAAAAACGCACGTACACAACCTGATCAGGCAGATAATTCTGGATCTGAGTAATCTTTCGTCTCCGCCTGTCCACCACGTCCGCCATGAGCGACGCCTCCGCCGCCGGCCAGGGCGCTCTGGATGCCGCCTCGTCCGGCGACACTTCTTCGCCGGCGCCCTTAACCATCCACAACGTGGACATCCTCACCCACGTCCCCGCCAAGCTAGACTTCGACGCCGACAACTACGCCGAGTGGAGGGACGGCATGCTCTCCGCGCTCGCCGAGTTCGGCGCCGTCGACCACGTCGGGGAGCAGGGACACTCCCTCCACGAGGGAGACGAGGAGTGGGCGCGCGCCGACGTCACCATCGTCCTGTGGATCTACACCACCATCTCCGACGAGCTGCTGGACGAGGTGATGGCCGCCCACAGCACCGCCGGCGAGGTATGGGCCCAGCTGCGCGGCTTCTTCGGGGACGAGGGCGCGTTTGACCCGGCCCTGGAGCTCCGCGCCGCCGCGCAGGGGGACATGTCCGTGAACGCTACAGCTGGCGCCTCAAGGCGCTGGCCCGCGCCGTCGCGGACGCGGGCGGTGAGCCTGTCTCCGACACCGCGCTGACCCTGCAGCTGCTCCGCGGGGTGACCCCCAGGCTCCGGGTCATGGGCACCTCCCTGCTCGTCAATGACCGCTTCCCCAGTTTCATGGAGGCCTTCTCGTTGTTGGGCCTCGAGGAGTACAGACGTGAACAGGGCGAGTTCTGGTTGAGGGCTCCGCCCGCCGCGGCGGTGACCGTGGTGATCAAGTCCAGGGCGCGCACTGACGTCTTCCTGTGACTCCCTTCTCGTGTCTAGAGTTGCTCCAGCCAACTAGCAGTATTCAGGGCCTGTTTAGGACTGCTCCGCTTCACCAACATTAGTTTCACTTCACTATTCACTTTGGAGCAGTTTCATCCAGCGTAGTGGTGGGTAATTTTCATCCTGCTCCAGCTTAGTGTTTTTTTGAGCGCCTCCTGAAGAGCTTCATAAAAAACTAGGAGATTACGCCCGATTCTAGTTTTTTTTGGAGCGGCATATCATGGAGCTATCCCGTTAGCACAGCTGAATTTGAAGAAGCAGAGCAGTCCCAAGCAGGCTCTCGGTTACTGTATTAGGGCTGAAAACTGAGCGAAAACGGATGAAACTAGGTGCTGCCACATTTGTTTACATATTCTTTTTCGAAAGCGGAAACAAATATGAAAATGAATACTATTGGAAACAAAACCAGTGCAAATACAACACGTACAGACATGGAGACAGAAGCGAGTGTTCACCGAAACTAAGGCTGCCCGTAATGGAAGTATCATAGGTAGTATCATGCATGCCAACTAAACACTTTTGATGAGGTGGCATAGAATTAAATGAAGAAAGAGATGCTTGAGTATCACATCATGATATCGTATCATATTAAATGATGTGCTACTTCGTGTCATGCATGGTAATAAATGTAGTCCTCTATGATACCAAGATATGATACTATGCATTAGGGATGTAGTATCATACACCAATATCATATGCATGATACTAGTATATGATACATCTCATTACAACCAGCCTAATGGACGGTCCCATCAGTTAATACACTCTAAAAACATCACAATTGCAATTAATGCAATATTAATTTTAATGTGCAACTAAAAGATAATTCTATATACCTAAAATAGTTAGTCCCCACTATCTCAATTCCCTCAACATGCACACATGCTACCTTATCATATATGCCACCTCATCACCCCACTAACTATTTCTCTTAACATGCATGAAAATTGCTATTTATATTCTCTCTTATCATGCACACATCCCAATGTGTGCGCATTGCAACCTCGTCGTCGACGAGCGGCACGGGAAGGCGTCTTCGAGGGTCCTTGGTTGCTGGTGGTGGCGGCACCGGCTCTCCACTCGATAGGCGGGCGGCGGTCCGTGGTCCGGCGGTGGTCCGAGATGGCGACACCCCTCCGTCGCCGGTAGGGTGTCGGCCGCGGATTTGTTCCGCTCCTTTCCTCCTCCTCTCCCCGTCCTAGTGCCGCGCAGTCTCCGGTCTAACATTCTTTGGGTCGGGATGGCCGGCGGCTTCGTCGGTGGTTGGGGTTCAGTAAGGCGAAAGCCGGCACCTTGGTTGGTCGTGGAGTTGTCAGATGGTAGGGCGGCGGCCCTGGCCGTGGGAGGCGCGGCGTTTGTGGGCGGAGCGTGCGTCTCAGGTGTGGGCGAGCAATCATGTTTACGTGGGTGGCGTGTTGTGGGTGGTTGACGATGCTAGGATGGGACGAAGGGTGTGAGAACTAGGTACATCACTTGCCCAATTTTACTGGCCGACGGTGGCGGTGGCCGTTGATGTCGTACCCTTCCTGAATGCATCGTCGCTGTGTTCCCACTCCTCATCTTGCTCCGGGTGAAAACCTGATCTTCGGGATCGAGCGTGGCGGCTATCCATGGCTGTTCCCTTCTTGGAGGCACCGTTTTGGGGTCTTGGCTTCGTTGTGGTCCGTCCCACTTCTCTGTTGTGGTTGCTCCTGATGGAGGTCTCTGCAAGCACCAAGCGGTCTTCCTCATCGTCATCTTTTGTTTGCTTGGTTGTCGGTAGGGTGGTGTGGCGGTGCCTGGCACCTTTGTATCTTGCCTTGGGTGCGGGGTGTGTGTAGTGGTGGTGTGTGTTTGTATCGGCTATCGGTTGTAATCGGTGAGGTTTGCTTTATATATAAAGCGGGGGAAAACCCTTTTTCGTAAAAAAAATTAAATCATTCTAATTATATTTCTCTCAACATGCATATAAAATACTACTTATATTCTGTATATATCTACAACTTATAATAATCAAATACAATATATTATATCTATTTTAATTTTTATTTAAATTTCATCAAAAGGTATTGCCACCAATCCCCGCAACAACGCATGGGGTATCATCTAGTTAACATAGAAGTGATTATAGAGGATCTCACTTTTATCCATAGCAGTTGGAGAAATATAAATTTGATTAAAGATTTTTAGACGGATTAGCTGAAATTATCACATCCATGCTCATGCTTTCATAATGACATGGAAAATATGCATTAGTGTGAAGCTCCATGAAAATCTAGCATCTCGTGGGTCTTGCTCATCTTGCAAGAAACGTATAAAGGTTCACAGGCCTTTCCAGAAAGAAAGTTGTTTTCTATTTCGCTCTTGCTACTTCTAAGCATGTGTTGGGAGCTACCACATAATACCACACATCACCGAACATCTACATTCTCGACTGTGCGTCTGCCTCGAAGCATTCTCATCTAAGGTATGTGCCAAGACAAACATTATATGTCTCTTGTTTAACTAATCTCATATCTTTGGTTGCACTCCTGATCTCTGTGGCTCTGTGCGTCTATCGAATAAACTGATCTCTGTGTATCTGTTTAATTAGTTAACTAGGCTTTTCTGAAATCCTTCATATCTGACATAGGAATCCATTGTCAATTTAATGGACCGAGAGATAGTATGAAATGAACAGAAAAGCATTCCGTAAGATTAGCACTACTACTGTAATTTCCACTAGCAGCAGATGGATGCGTCAAGGTTTTAGAATTTCAATAGATATAAATTCTAAAAAGAAGATATTCCTTCCATTCAGAATTTATATCTGCATATTAACTATTTTTTTTCCAGAATACAGAACTGGAACATAAAAAAAATTATGTACAAACACAATTATGCGGTTATGCCAGACCCTTATATCTCTCTATTGTGTTCTGTACAAAAGTTGGGTATTTGTATCAAATGTTCAATTTTCAAACTCTTTTATGCTTGATGCTAAAAAAAAAACTCTTTTATGCTTTCAAAGTAAGACAATAACACTGCTTTCAATTAATTAAGGAGTGAAAATGAATTGTGCAACAGGATTATAAGATAGGCAAACCATGAAGACATCGCACAGAGGAGTGTCCCAAGAGCAACAATATTCTCCGTAGGCTCAACGGCCATCTCAAACACTTCGAGTAGCGAGTGCAGTCTGCATCATTGAAGGAATCAGTCCGCTGAGGCAATACTGCAACGACATCCTCATCAACAATCAACGGCTTGCGGGGCGTCAGCAAAGGGCATTGCAAAGCCGAGATCACCCTAACTGCATGAACCTTGCCAGCATACTCATCGACCATCACCAAAGAAACTACCTCGGGCACAAGAGGTACGCCGCCTACAATATTTTTTAAGATAAAGACATGAAAAGGGCATCTATTCTTAAGTCCGATTATTAATACTATCGAAGAAAACAAAAGTCAATTCAATGGACAGACAACTAGACGTTGAAAGACTAGTAAAAAATAAAATTACATTGAAGGCTTATTCTTCCTTCGGTTGTACGCCTCGCGCCAAAGATTAAAATTGCATTGAACAAATAGTAAAGGAAAGGGACACCGGCCTGCAAACGCCCTCACAATACCAGGCTTTTTAGACCGCAATAGCCACTCACACCTTAGGACAAGATTTATAAATTGCTGAAGCAACATCATGCTAGAGCATCACCCCACGTAGAACAAGCTTGCGGTCCATCACCATCAGTTGAGAGGGTTGGAGAAAGCGAACCATGCCACAAAACAACATGAAAGAAGATGCCGGACTCGCCGCACCAATAGCCAGTCAAATAT